CGTACATTCTAAGTCAGACTCAATCATTAAGAATGTGTTTACACATGGTGATGGCGTATTGTATTTGTCACAACACTTTCGTATTTTGAAACAAAGTCACCAGTTATATAAATTATTCAAAATCTGGGTGATATTTTTATACTACAGGGAACACAAAGGTAGCTAAGAGAATTACGTAATGACATACTGGGAGTGTATGGCTTTATAACAGCCTGATATGTTATAAAGTCGAAAATATATCTCTTCTAGCAAAATACCACATTTGCACGAACATGAAAGGGAACAGTTGCGGGAAAACATCGATAAAAGTGCATATTTCAAATTCAAAAAGGTGTTTATCTTTAATAGTGTTGTACTGCTGGCTTTAGGATTAAAAGTGATTATAAGATCAGAATTTATCAAGTTTTAGAAAGCTGTTGATGAGTGCATTTTCAGATTAATAAGCAGATTGAGGAGCAGTTACAGAAGGACAAACAGCTGCTTCGAGCAACTCATCGGTTGCTGTTGCTCGGAGCTGGAGAATCCGGTAAAAGTACCATCGTGAAACAGATGAGGATTTTACACATTAGCGGTTTTAATGAGAAGGAGAAGAAGGAGAAAATCAGTGATATTCGTAGGAATGTCCGTGACTCCATTGTGGTTCGTTTATCTACATTTATTCACTGCTTTACTAATTTTGATATTCAGTGCAAAATATGGAAGTGAATTTGGGAGTTTCTTTATGCTTGAGAATGCAAATTCTTACCAATACTTCTCAAAAGATTTTCTTTTTTTATCTGCGGACTTAAAAATGGATTTTAATACTTTTCATTGAATAAACTTTATGTTTGTCTACGCAAATCTTGAGATCTTTATACTTTTTGCAATGGATATTAAAGCGTTTATTGGGATGCCATTTTTATCCAGAACTATAGGTGATATTAAAAGCAATGTCCGAAATCGAACCGCCAGTACAACTGGACGATCGTTCAAACGTGCCAAGCAGAGATTATTTATTGTCAACTTCCTCTGAACCTGAATTCGATTATCCTCAGGTTACTGTTGTTCATTTCTAGCATCGTTCTGGTTTTTCGAAACTGCATTTTCTTAAATTGTTTTTATAACCGTTATATGATTTCTAATTGACAGTTTTATTAATTTAAATGTAAATCGTTCTAAGGTTTTTTTGTCTTTATGTTTTTTCAGGTGTTTTATGACCACGTTATGAAGTGCTGGACCGACCGGGGAGTACAGGCTTGTTTCGAGAGAAGTAATGAATACCAGCTTATCGACTGTGCCAAATAGTTAGTTTTGTTTTGTCATGTTGTTATGTCTTGACCGTGTAGTTTGTTTGCATGCCTCATGTATCATTCTGCTTTCAGTTTCCTTGATAAGGTTGGAGACATTCGGCAAAATGATTACAATCCATCCGAGCAGGTCGGTGAAGTCATTTAGAAAATTTTTAGATTTTCGCATTTTCCTGATCTTGTTTATTGTGTGTTCATTTTTATTTTTCCAATTTGTTGGAAATAGAGAACAACAACTTAAGTAGTTTCTTAGTTATAAGAATCATGTTATCGACTACCTCTTTTAAAAAGAGTCTTGAACTTTTTGATAAAATATTTGAATTTTGTCAAAATTGCAGGATATATTGCGTTGTCGTGTAATGACAACAGGTATCTTTGAAACGAAATTTGAAGTAGATAAAGTACGATTTCAGTAAGTCAAACCTTTATTCTCGTTTTTTTTTTTTTTCAGTGAAGTGTTTTCTCTCTCTAATTTTTATTCCACTGTTGAAAATCGAGAAATTTAAAAACTTATTCTTTGATTCCTTGACACGTAGCTTTATTTCTCAGGTTTCATATAGGAGCAGTTATCAGTAGTAAGGCTTTGGGTGCTTAATGCAATTTTAATGCAATATCTAATTGAAACTTTCTCATAATCATTAGAAAGAAGAATAACTAATGGACTTGGTACAAATTTTTAAAGAAATTTAGAGATTGAAATAAAAACTAACTGTTTAGGAAGTTTTTTTTTTTCAATAATGTTAGACTTGTTTGCAGTATGTTTGATGTTGGTGGGCAAAGAGACGAGCGTCGCAAATGGATTCAGTGCTTCAATGATGTAACAGCGATTATATTTGTGTGTGCCAGTTCATCGTACAATTTAGTGTTATGGGAGGATGCGACGCAAAACCGACTCAAAGAATCCTTGTCATTGTTTAAAAATATTTGGAATAATCGATGGTTAAAAACAATCTCTGTTATTTTGTTCTTAAATAAACAGGTTTGTCGCATTTATTTTACTTCCTTGTGTCCAACTTACTTGAACGGAGAGGAGGAAAAGATGATTTTTCTAGGGGTAGCCAAAGCCCTGGAAAGAAGAATGAAACGATGAATAAGAAAAATGAGAAACATCACGCGAAGAATTCGTTTTTATCAAATTATTTTAGCCAAGGAAGTGCATCCTTGTGTTGCAGATATATGAAGTTGACAAGAGGAAAATATTCTAAAACAAATGAATTAAAAATTTTTCTAGGATTTGCTAACCGAGAAAATCAAGTCAAGGCGGCATCCGCTCAAGAGTTATTTCCCAGAATTTGCTAATTATCAGTTACCTGCAGACGTCACTTATGATGCATCCGATGATCTTGAAGTTGTTAAGGCAAAATATTACATCAGGGGAGAATTTCTGGTAGGTTTCAATGTTTTTAAGTTTACAGCACTATTTTAAATCTCTTCAGCTTCTTTGTTCAAAAGATATGTATCGCTAAAGAGCAGTTACTATGTAATTAGAAAAAAGCAAAAATTATAAAAACTTAACAGAAAATTAGTTTCATGACACAAAATCTAGTTAAAAAATTAGAGTTTACAAAAGATTTTGTGCCAATTTGCATTTGAAATCGTTTTAAGGATAATTGACTCAGTCTTCTACTTTTAGTGTTTCGGGTAAAACCGGATATCTAACTCTGCTGTCATTTTTAGCGAATCTCGACAGCAGCCGGTGATGGGCGGCATCATTGCTATCCACACTTTACATGCGCCGTGGACACCGAAAATATTCGACGTGTATTTAACGACTGTAGGGATATTATTCAACGTATACATCTGCGTCAATATGAACTATTGTAGGATATTGATTGGTTTTTTTCTCTCCTCTTGAGTAAGTCTAGGCTAAGCGGGGCTGTATTTTATTTATGGTATTTATTTAGACTGTTTTTAAAGTTTTTCATTCACTCATATATTGTTCCCAGTTTTCATACATAATCCGATCTGCACCGTATACATTATATATATATATAATATATATATGTTATATATAGTGCACCTTCTTTGTGCGTATGCCTAGTTTCAACCCTTTCTTTCCATCGGTGTTTGTTTTTGATAGATTTGAGAAGCATGAAGTTATGGTTGATTGAGCGAAGTTTATCACGTCCCAAAGGTAACAGGATCCATGATGCAGGTGAGAGTTCACCATAAAAATGATCGAGTACAAATATTTATATTATTAAGATCTACACGGCAAAATATGAATACGATAACTCCGACTCTTTGTCCACTTTTTTTGCTTAATAAGAAATTTGTATCATTACTTGTTGCTTCTTTGTATTTTTACTATTAATGATAAGTTCGATTGTATGATTTTGTTCGACTGGATTTTTTTATTTTGTGATGCGAAGCCTCGCACTGCCTTTGGCGTTTTTACGGGAAAACTTCGATATATATTGCAGTTGAACTGTGCTGTCGTCATCGTTATCATCGTCAAAACGTTAACTTATATATTACTTTACTGTGGGAAATATTAGTAGTGATATGTCTTTGTCCTAAGTCTTCAGGTCTTGTTCACTTTTTTATCCGATTCTCTAGTTAGGCGCACAACTTTTGCTTGTACACAGTTTGCTTCCGAGAAGCATGGCAGATTTTTTTAGAAAGTTTGTAAGGTTTCAATTACTTATTACTTTGCAATAATTTTGTAGAGGATATTTCCGATTTTTGAATTTTTCTCTTTGCGCCACGTATATAGTTAATGTAAAGTACTGTTCAAGGTGACTGTGATATTTGGGGTTGACATATTTTGTTTTTCGACTATTTCGATAGTGCGATAAGTGCTATACTTTGTGGCTAAGAAAGGAATACATTATTAAAGTACTTCTTTGTTTCATAAAATTTCCCTTTTAAAAGAAGAGTTTCATGTTCAATGAAATTTTATCAAATTCGGATTTTAATCCTTGTGCAGACCTCACCAGTTATTTTATATTGTAGCTCAACGTATTCATTTAAAATTTGGATTAAAAGTAACTCATTTACTTCGTTTACATTTCGTATATTACTTATATTTCCCTTATTGTTATTAATATATTTCCTTTTCATTTTTCTCCTGAAACAGAAAGTTATTACAATAGCTTTTTTAAAAAAATTTATCTGCTTTTTACGCGGTCTCGTTATATCGTGCGTGCTCACATCGTAAGCGAATGCTTTAAAACTTTTTTATTTCAAGGGAACGACTGCTCAAAATAACCTTCAATTAGCTAATCAAGATGAAGAAAATTGGGATGCTTATGAAAGATATTTTCTAGCTGGGTTGGGTATTTGTGTTTTGAGGTCGTTTTCATGCAAGCTTCGTTGATAAAGCTGTTGTCTGCTCCATTTCCTTCACATATTTTGTCGTTTATTTACCACTTTCTCTCCTTTTATATGTGCTTTCTTCATCTAGTAAAAATTTACGATTTAAAAGTGGAACAGTAGCTAAAAAGGAACTTCAAGCAAGATTTTTGATATAATAGTTCTGCCTTCCATTATCGATTCATTTATAACAGCTGTTGTATGCTTCATTCGAATCAAAAATTATAAGGTATCCTATAAGCGGTACTCTTCCCTTAAACGCATTGCTCGTAAACAGAGGGATCCAGGAGGCTATTATAGCTCAAATGAAATGGTTATCGGTATGCACTGACGGCATTTTGCCATAGTGTGTTATATCTTGTTTTCTTTGGGTGTCACATACGACATTTGCACTTCTTTTTTCCATTTGGAGGATTATTCGTAGTAATGTAGTTAATAATGTTTATACGATTTCGCATTTGTCGCACGTGACAGTTTTTCATGTTTCCCATAATTTTTTAAAATATTGATGCTTTCTTAGCAATTCGGGTAGTTTTTGTTATGGAGTTCAATGGCAGGACTAGGATTGAGCATTTGAGATGTCATTTTTATATACCTGAAGAATAAGTCAGTCTCGAATTGGGACAGTGAAGGATTTAAGATGTTAGAGTTACAGTTTTTCAATACGTCTTCAATTTATTATTAAAATGAAGAGGTTTTTGAAGCTTACTTTTTATTCATTCAGCCAGGTGCTAGAGGTTAAATGAGATCAAAAGATGAATTTTTAGAAATTGTCGTTGCTTTTTCTCTTGTTTCGTACTTTTTATTATGTTAAGTTTCATAATTTTATCAATTATTCTTATCATTGTTTTGTTCTGTTCATATGAAAGAAATCGATGTTTTCTGGAAAGAAAAGAAATCAATATCATGATTTATATTTGGATAAAATTGCTTTACCGTATTCTATCTAACTCAATTTGAACAAAGATCAGTAACATTCTGATAAAAGTTCCAGTAATCTTGTGGAATTATATTCACTCTGTTGTTCCTCCCATTCAGATGCAGATCAACAAAAAAAGTTCAATAATTTCGGGACTGTCTTGATAGGCAAAAATTTCTTGCTTTAATTGAAAGTTGCTATGATAAGTAGTGAAAAGCTTCTGTTTTATATTTAACCTCTAGCTTTTCTAATAAATCAGTTCAAATGAGTGAATACTGTGCTTACTATTCATTGATAATATATTGTTGAATAGACTGGAAGTAATCAAATTTGATGAAAAAAGCGAAGACGAAGATTTGAAGTTGTCGACTCTATTTATTTCTTTGTTTAACAGTATTACAGCATTGACAGAAGTCAAAACAGTTAAATTTCAATCCTCGAGATTCGAATTTAACTATTATGTGAAATCATCTAACATTCTTCTCTCCTCCCGAAATCATATATCATGTAAAATAAAAAACTATTCAAAAAATTGTTCTCGAAATGCATTTTATTCATTTTTTATTCTTCAAACATGTATGTGTCTGTGTATGGACGGAGATTTGATATCAGCAGGAAGATGTTTGCAGTGGTTGAAATAGATGAGGTATTATAGCAGGGTGTATCAAATGTGCTATTTGTAAGTTAAGTTTAATAAATCGATTGTCTCCTTGGTAACGCTCAACTGTTGCGGTGTGTGATGATTAGCGAAGCAAGGCACTGTTTTCTAACTGCGAATATTTGAATTATATCCATCTTTCCATTTCCGTTATTTGAATTCCATAGCGTCGCTTCATCGGACCTACGCTGTTCATACCATTTTATCACCATGTTACTCTCTTAATTTCATCTTTCATACATTTGATCTCATCCATTTCCGTTCTACTTCCTAGAAGAAATTAAGATAATATTTCATATGATGAATGTCTTCCATAAAGCATGAATCATTCATCATCATCATCATCATCATCATCATCATCATCATGTATATCCTGATGCATGTGTGCATTATATCTCCTAATGCGCATGCATGCTTGTATTATGCTAATGTCATGAAGCATGGATTCTGAAGCATTTTCCATTGTAGTGAATGCTTTATTATATGTATTGTGATGGTTGCAAAAAGAAATCAAGTGATTTTCTTTTCTTTATGGTTTTAAATTTTTCATAGTGTTTGAAAAGTTTTTTTTAAAAAGAAAGAATAAATAAACGAGCGAATGCAGAGATGATGCTCTTCAAGTCACATATTATCACTAGCTGATTAAAATAATTCAAATAATAAGTAATTGGCAGTTAATCACTAACAGTGAATTTAACAAGAACGGTTAAAAATTGGTATCGCTATTAGGAGGAGGAATAGTAGTTGGTTTTTTGTGTACAAGTCAGTTTGTTGGCTTAAAAGAACAAATTCAGCTTTTTTAAATATTCCGCTGTGAGTGGGATTAACTGTAAGCTTATCGTCACACTATCCAAAGTTCTTAAACTTTCTGTAGATTATTTATTTGATACGTTAATAATTAAATATTTGTGTGGAGAAGGTAAGTTCGAAGAGATTGACGAAGAAGATTCGATTCAAATAAAGTTTCAATAACAATTTATCACAAAATGGATGCTCATCTATCAGAAATATTCCCGGAATACGACAGACATATATACTTTGATCGTTGACATTATGGATTTACTCTGGAAAACTGATGCGCAATATTCTCACATTGCAAATATCAAAAAGAAAGCTTTAATAAAATTTCAGATTATTTTTTCCTGTGTACCTTGAAATTAAAAAATTTTTTAGACTTAAAAGTTAAAAACTCAATACCACTAATTTATTTTATATTCAAAAGGTTTGATGTTAATAGCCGTTTCAGTTGGCGACGGAAAACTAATTGCACTTCAAGTTGTTAAACACTTACATAACTAAAATTTGGCCAATTAAACTAATTAATCAAAGTGAGCGGATCGCTTAATTTGATTCAATATAATTTTACCACCAATTTCAATCCGTAAAATAAAGTCGTTTCAATTTCCAAAATTGCAACTAATTTTATGAAAGCAATCCAATACTACAATAAATTTTTAAATTTTCTCACAGGTAATTTTGCAGGGGAGATTCCCACAACTAATTAAATCTAATTTCCTAAATCAGTTTTAAAGAAATTTGGGCATTTTCAGTAAAAATAAAAAATGTTATTAAGCGTGAATGTCATAAAATACATCCAATATAACTTTGCAGCTCAGCTAACAATTCAAAATCTTTCCAATAAAACAGTGAAGGAAAAAGAGGAATTTATTCCTTTTATGAAGAAATCATACAGAAATAATTTCCTATTTTGAGAGTTGCATAAATTCTGATGTTTGCCGTGTGATAACAATTTTTAAATAAATATTTGTTGCAGGAAGAAAAAGGTTTGGTTTGCCGATCGAAATAAGAGGGGAGAAGGAAAGGCTAACGCTGCGACCTGTTCTTGGTCTTTTCAATTTCGCCGCTTCGTTCGGCTCTCCTTCCCTCCTGTGAAACGCAAACCGGATCAGCATCCTAACGGAAAATCTGACCAGGTGGAAGACTTGTGATTTTGTTGTTTATACGTTTTCAACAACAGCAAATCCGAGCTCTCCACCCGGAGGCATTCCGGTAAACCTTATAAGTTAATAGAATTTTCACTTTATCCTTTTAAGATATTTAAACGTCAATTTAGTTCACTTCATTCTTGTAATTCCTAGACGGTGACAAGAGATGAAGAATCAATTCCAAAATTGTAAGCTATTTCCCACTCCACCACCAAATTGAAACTCTCAACTCTCTTTCTACCTCTCACATATACCGTACATGAAGAAGATTCGGACCATTAACATCATTTTTTTCATTAACTGATTCTCTCTTTTTGCAGTTGCTAAAAACCACTGATGGTTGGAAGATTTATTACTATACAACTGTCTTGCTCGTGAATAATGAAAATTAGAATTTAACTATCATGTATGAAAATGAAGACATTTTACAAATGTCAGTATTCAATATAGCAAACATATTTCCACAATTAATCCTGCCACGCCTTAAAGTTAAGTCGATAAGATGGCAAAATAGGGGCACTATTTTGCATAAACTTGGATAGAATCTTTATGACACTCCATATTCCAGACGTTTCCTGAACAGAAGAATTCTTGATTTCGGAATGCAAAAATGTTTCCACTTTTCTTAATGATGTAATCAATCAAATCGAAGTTCTCCTCAAATAACATAAGCGATTAGAGTGAATGATTGCACACCACTACATTCTTCCTTCCTTTCAAATTCTGAATTTTTGAACAAAATTTCGAAAATTTCGTAATGATTATTGACAAATGGAAAAATGGCAACAGAAACTCGATGACTTAAACATACAAGTGGATAAGTAAACCAATCAATATTACATCAATCTAACAAACAAAATGACCGAGTGTGTCCACTAACAGCAATCATTAAAAATTAATTTGTGAGTTATTTTATGGTGAAATCACACTTTAAACTAAAATATACAGAATCATCTAGCATTCACTATGAAGAGAATAAAAAACCTTTCTTCTTAATTTGTCGTAATCATTATTTTAGCAGTTTCTATTAGAAATCACCAACAATTACATTCAGAAGATAATGATAGCGCATGAATTCAATTTTCCAAAAATTGGAGCGAAAACTTTCTACGATTACAGATGTTCTGCTATCATTAATAGCTTCTTAATTTATGCAGAGTTACTCCTGCATCTTCCAAGCATTACAAAGAATTTAACCTTGGAAATTTCATTCCATTCTTCATCTTTTAATCTTTAATATTGAAAAATGTGTGGTAAGGAGAAGTAAGGAGATTTATTTATCTAAGTAAAATGTGATGAATTCAACAAATTACCTGATCTCTTAATGTGAAATAAGTTACATGTAAAAAGAAAAACAATTACTATGCATAACTGGTTTTCAATTTTGAGCACACACAGACGGGTCGACAATTGGTAGCACGCCGCCGTCCTGGCGTGACACGTTCGGCAGGTGACGATTCACTAGTTGAATAATGAACAGTGATCAAATTTTCTAATGTTTCCAACATCTCTTCCATATGTTCGATTTGATGCTGCGTGATGCATGGCTCACCATTCGGAAACGTACGCTCAAGCGCTGCGCAACGTCGCATTTCAACCACGCATGCATTTACACAACCAATAAATTGTGATGCATGTCGCGTAAATTCAACACCTGAAGTATAGTTTGGATAAACATATGTCATTTGATAGCCTTCTAAAAATTAAGTCATTGTCAAATTGAATTAAGGATTAAGAGTTTGAATAGATCACCAAAGTTAAAGCAACTTTGAGAAAGTTCATCTGCAACGTGATACTATTCATAAGTCTCATTAAACGATTGAAAATAATTTCATTTTTTTAAAATTCTGATGATATGTCCACTGGAAGCAAATCAATAATCTCAATGATAAAAGAAGGCCTTTAATATGAGTAAAGCCACATAATAAATCTGGGTTTGTGAAAGAATGAAATTAAAAGAATTTGTAAGAGACATTCAATGAAAATCTTTAACAATATTATACTTACCTTCATGACGAAGCTGAGGCAGAATGCAACTTTTGGCTGCTTCACAGGCTCTAATACACGCTCGACCAAATGAATCAACATCACTGCGAAGTTGCATTCCATCCTGACCTGTACCAATACATTGAACCACATTTCGAAATTGCGCTAGCTGTACATTAGAATCATGTACCAACTTAAATACAACGATGAATTAATAACAGCACATAATATCAATGAGATGATTTTCGTTCTTATCAATATATGATGATACATATGTTTAAACATTAAACAACACATTCTTTGGCTAATCGTATATCAATCATACTAATTCATTCTTTTCTTTAATCAGTAATGAATGATTCATCATACTATAACTTCTATTCAGTTATTTATCTCTTCATACCGCTACTCCACTGTTAGTGCTAATTATCATCATAGTGACAAATAATGAAAAAATGAAGATGAATACCTCTTGCAATTTCCTTACACTCGAAATAGAATGTTGTCGCAGCTTGGAGGACATTCAATGTTCCAAGAAATAATGGAACTGCTGCTAGCGCTACTGACGATGATGACGTTTGCTCATAGAGCTTATCGATCGTGAGAGAAAGCATTTCTCACATCCTGACAGCAGCAAATTGCAGTAGCATTAATCTTTTCCTATAGTGAAATTCTAAAAGTAACTGTTCCAGGATGACTTGCTTATCTTCTGATATCACTTCTTGTGCAATCTGTTCATCTGCTTATTCTTATATTCAAGCATGCAGCATACGCATGCAATGCATGCGTATGCCTTGCAACAATATTATAGAGTTTGGCTTTGGGAATTAATAAATGATTCAAATTCAACACTCGCTGTAGCAGTAAAATATTCTTTACTTGATATTTAACATATTTTCATGTGGATTAATTAACATTTCGTTAGCGCTTGGCCTCTCATTGTTTCTCCTTATTATTCCATATATGCATTACTCACAGCATAGAATGAACGTGAAGAAAAACAGAAACGTCTCTCTAATGCTTCCAAGTTTAGCAAAACTAAACTCGATTGAATGTTTAACTCACCAAACTCAAAACTTTGTACATTGATAATTCCGTGGTCATTTTTTCATTCAGTAACTATGTTGTGAAAGCGACTGCAAAAATTAACAGTGAGATAATCGGAACGCCTTTTTTTACAGATGGCATATTGTTTGAATTTAAAATAGTCGAATGGTGACTGGCCTCAAGATTGTCTACGTAAGTACCATATATGGATAATTTCAAGCAATGTAGAATTTTACTAAAATGAACTCGGAACCAGTGAATAGATACAAAACCATCAAAATATGTGATAATTCGGAAAAGTGACAAAATTTCAACGAATAACAGAATGCAAAATTTAATAGTGAAATTCTGAATTCTGAGGAACGACATCCGCATTACGAATTGAAAATGAACCTCTATTCTTGAAAAAGATGTTGATAGTTCATTCCTTAAAATAAAACATACCATTTCGTGTGTATTTTCCATGATTCCTCAAGAAAAAATGACATTTCCGCATTGTTTATCTATGATGAACCAGAAAAATCGGAAAAGAAATAAAGATAAAGATAAAAGCAAATTTTTAGCTGAAACATTCGATGCATCCCTTAAAGCTATATGACCATTCATTAAGGAAACCAAAAAAACTCTTGGCATATAAGCAAATTTATTTATATACATAAGGCGTCTTGAATCCTGAAGATAAAACTAATTAATTTGCTGAGATCTCCTTATAAGAATATTGAAAACATTTGCTAAAATATCTGAACTTATATAAAAGACTGATTCTCAATCTTCGATATAGATGTCATCACGACAACTATCACTACTGCCATCACCATCATTATCATCGTAGTAATCCTCAATAACATCACTATCATCCGAATATTCGAAAAACGCCGCTTCTTCTACTTCCTTAGGAACATCTTTCGTCGGTAGTTTAAAGTGTGGTCCCCATAAAATTGGAATTAAGGGTTTGTTAAACTTCTTCGATTTTTGTTCAAGACTACGCTTCCATTCATTTGCCTGAAATTACTGACATGGTTGAGCTGCAAACTTATAAGCTAATCCCTAGCTTCTAATTTAAGTTCGTGTCAAGTTGGAATTTGAAATCCACGATTGTCTTCAAAAAAATGAGGACCGAATTCTTATTTGAGAGATCGATGGAATTTGAATTTGTAACACTCAGTTAGCAAATTTTATCATTTCTCCGCTAAGATATTCTTATTAAGTTATGGCTTCTTCTCAGTACGGATTTCAAAAACCGAACCATCAGAATTTTTGAAATCCATACCATCATTTGCTGAAGTGAAGCAAAATCTGCTAATAGCCATGCATCTTCCGATATTTATACACGCATCGACAACAATAAAAACAGTAAGAAACAATAGATTAAGGAAAACTTAGATCAGTTTAAATTTAATTACAAACGATCAGACTTTCCATGGTCAATTCTTGTCCCTTCCCACGCCCAATTATAAAATATATTACGAAATTAACTTCTAATGCTTGTATTACTTGCAATCTGTAGTTAAAAAAGATTAAGATGACTCGAAACATAAAACATAATGATTGGCAATCAGAAATTTTGTAAAACTGCAATTACCAACGCTAATGACAAGAGTAGCAAGCTAATGACAAGAGCAATATAAACAGCTTGTAATTCATTTTCAGTAATGCAAATCAATCATACGAAAAACTAAATTCAATGAATTTGAATTTACCACAGCCTGGAGACGTTCTGCACGTTTATAAGTGTCTTCACGACGTTCAAGACGATCTTGTTCATCTTCACCTTCACCTTCCGACAGATATCCATGCTGTACTATGAAACCATCACTGTCGCTTGATTGATCAGAATCCTGAAAGCTGAAATGTCAAGAATCTCAGAATTTACCAGAAATTTATTGATAGCAGGAATTGAATTCCAACTGAACGAAAAAAACTTCAAAAGGATTTTTACGGTCTCGCCAAAGTAGCAGAAACTATCGACGCGAGGGCATCCTATAAATCAAACGGTAAAAAATGTTGTGCTTCAAAGAAACATCAACAGTAGCTCATAATGACCATAATTTCTTGCAGTAATAAATTTTACTAGTTCGACGAAGTTCCTGGCAATTACAGATATATGGTCTCAGTTACAACTGCAAAGATTTTTATGAAGCTTTGCAAACATCCATTAACTAATAATCATCTAAATTTGAAAACACAACCTCCTCTTCTTCACTCATTGTACTTTCATCGCAGTCATCACCTTCTGGAATTTCCCACTCCTCGTCTGAATCCACTTCATAGTCTAATAACTGTAAAACAAAGATGAATGTGAGGTTTTCGATTATAAGCACTTGCAAATTTAAAAGGAAAATTCGAAAATTATAAAATCAATGTTAAATTGGTCCAGATACCTCTGTGTCTTTGGCGAAAGGTTTCCTGCCTGTTATAACACCGCTTTTTTTCCTCCATGTTCCGTAATAAGGAGGCCTCAAGTTATCATGAAATTGAAATAGTTTGGATCGATTTAGCTTTCTAAAAAACTTATTAATACATGATTTGTCTTGATTTCGTATGAGGAATAGAACTGCAAAAATTCCTGATATCCTTACCATGCATAAAGTACAACTTCTGCGGAATCTTACTTAGCATCTTCTAGTACGAGAATTACATTAGCAGGGCTTTAAACAAGCCAGCATTTTGTGTGCTAGCCAATTGAATTAAGGCTGTCAGTAAATCAGTTCGTTTACATTCCAGCTTTTTAACCTACTTACAATAGTACGTGATGTCTAGCACGTGCATGACAGATTTGTCACTTGAAAATTTTTATATTACATTACATTATATTAACATCAAGATATAACTTCGAAGGAAAATATAGAATTAAAAACTAAGGAAAACTTACACTTTCTCAACTGCGCGAGGTTTAATCGTTGATAGATATAGCCTTTCCTGCAATTGATCAACCAGAAATAATTTGTGAGCTAACTATAAAAAGTGAGTAGTTTTATAGTTTTGCATTGAATATTAATGTTTTCCTACAAAATAACACAGAATGAATGCGACGATCATGTTAAAACACACGACTGGCTGTATTTCCACTAGCAGACTATCATGAACTTCTTTCGACAACGGCTTGCGTCGAAACACTGGTGCAAGTGACACTCCTTGTTTGCAAAAAAACGGTAAGATATTAAGCACTGATGATGTTTGTACTGCTTCAGACTCTCTTCCTGTCTTTCTTCTCTTGTCAAAAAACGAAAGGAAACGATCCGATTGACGTTTCTTTTTAAGTTCCAGCGCCTGAAATAAGAATGAGCTATATATATAGTCAGCTGTTCTCTATATTTATATAAAATCACTTCAATCGACCTCCTCTTTTCTCCTCTTCTTTTCACGTCTTTCTTCTTCGTTTCTTCGCCTTCTTTTACGCTCTTCTTCTTCTTTTTCCTTCTTTTGTTTTCTGATTTCCTCTTCCAATCTTTTTCGCTCTTTTTTCTCTTCTTTTTCTTTTTTTCTAAGTTCCCTTTTCTGCAGATTCTCCTTATGCTTCTTTTCTTTCCATTCTTCTTGTTCTCTTTTCCGCCTCTCTCTTTCCCTGCAATTTAAAAATTTTGTTTGCATCTCCCAGCTTCAACTGTAAACACTAAATAGCTGTAAAAGAGTCGAAAAGTTTGACGAGAAAATGGTACTTCTGCGCTTCTTTTTTCAAATTTTCTCCTTCTATAGCAGCTTCGCGATTTTTCTGAAAGAGTTCAACAATTAAAAATATTACACAATAGTTGTAAATAATTCCAAGCATAAAAAAGGAAAAAAAGATATCAGAGCCAATGAATGAATTATTTTTTAGTTCACGATTCAAAGTAAAAATCAAATCCCAACACACGCTTCCTTAAAAGGAGAAAGTAAACATAAAATAGGCAAACAATTGCACTTGATAATCTCTGCTCAAAGAGTTGGACTTTATGGAAAAACTTTGAAAGAATGTATTTTAATTTCATTTAATTTTAAAATGTTCAGGAATCTCAAGCGCCTCTCCGCAGAGAATCCATAACAACGTCACCATTTTCTCTGCAGCAATCCTTCTCCGTTCTCTCATCCTTTTTTCTTGTTCAGCGAACTGCTTTACTGTTACTTTTCGATATCGACGCACAGGTCCATGTGCCTCTTTCTTGCGAGGATTTCCATTAATAGAGTCTGTATCACTTATTTCAATTATCTAAAATATATAAACAATTTCAGGAGAAGATGAGAAGGCTTTATTTTTAAGATAAATTACTGTCACAGATTTAAAACCATTTATGAAACCGAACTAAAAAGCTTTAAAAGAAATTTTCATAACATCTAAAGTTCACATGTTTTGCTAAGGTCTTTAAATTCCTTGAGCAATTCTGATACCTCATCAAGGGCATGTTTTCCACGTCTGGACGAAGTTTTCAAACGCTCGACCTAAAAACTCCACTTTCATTAAATGACACAATATATTTATGGAATATTGCAATTCCTAAATTAAATTCGGTTATTACCATCGCACAACAAGTTGTGACGAAGCATAATGGGATTTTCCGAAAAGACTAATTATAAATAAAAGTAGCTTAATTCGTAACTAGATTGAAGGGAATGAGTAGGTAATATTAAAATAACTCATCTTAGACAGCTACATGAATTACTGAAGGTTGGTTCAATAAGGCAGCAGCAGACATACTTCATGACGTGGAGTTCACTCCTTTAAATTTTGTTGGGAAATAAGATATAAGAGTAATTATTTTGACCATACTTACAGTGTAGGCGACAGCTTCGACTACTTCGCGAACAAAATCGCTAACTTCACACGCGATTACTTCATCATCATAACGTTGTACTTTTCTGTCAGAACATCGTTCCGTTAAATATTTCTTCACCTCAGTTTCCTCATTTTCTTTATCATCTCCATTCATATCTATCTACAATTATTGTTTCCTTTCAATTCCATAAAGAATGAAACAGTTTGGAAAAAGTGGAATGACGAATAATCGAGTAAGAAATACTACATTTATGGGCGAACCGATAATGAAATTATTTGATATCAACTTTCATTTCGTAAAATTCCATGCACAAACACACAAGAAAACCAAAAGTTCAACAATGATTGTTGTGAGATGGACAAGTGAAAGGTCCGAGTTAGATTGGAAGGTCAACGAAATGCAAAGACTAGATCATCCGCCTCGCGAGATACCCACATCGTATATCACAGAACCAATTCAATCAGACTTAAATTTTAAATTTTATTCATAATTGAACCATCCAGCTGAAGTGACGTTATGAAAATGTTCATCCTCGCGTGTGAAGAATGAATTGGAAAATGGATGTGAGTAGTTTCTTGGTTGCTTCGGGAATATTTCATTTCAACTTTTTATCTTAGTCATTGAACAATTAACAAAATTAACTCTTTAGTGATTGCATTGATTGTTGTTTCCATTTAAGTTAAATGTACTTTAAAAGTGCGCGTATTATTATAGAGGTAAGTTGTTTAATGATTAGACAGCTAACCGTATCATAGATACTGCTATGCTGAAATAAATAACTTCCATGTCAATATAAAAGAAGAGAGTCAGGTAGCTCACCTCTAAAATTTGCTTCTTTCTTGCCCTCTTTTGTTACCAACTTTCTCATTCTCATCTGTTGAGTCTATCAGGTCTACATACCTCTTTGCATCATACACAACAGCCGCTTCAAACTCTCTCCTATTTGCTTTTAATTCGAAAGGCCATAGAAACACTGCTCCCATTCATATACATCAATATAAAACTAACAGCTATCATTGCTTTCCAGTTTTGGAATTCTTCTTGATGACCTATGACTTTAATCAGGAGAATTTTCATATTACTGAATACAAATCACTGGAAAAATACATAATAGGGTAATACATATGTTGAAGCCTAGTTGCTCGATATATTTTTTTGACAAATATGAAATAACTGATATAATTGAGCTTTTATTGAAATTTACGCCTATAAAAGCTTCAACTATTAAATTTGAGCTGAAGGTATTCATTTCTTCCTTCTTCGTTTAAAATTATTTCTAAAAATTTAAAAAACTGAACTGTTTCTTTTTTTGTAATCACACATCTATGTATGCGTATATTACGTACGTGGATATTTAATCACATATCTATGTATGCGTATATTACGTACGTAAATTTCAATATATATTATGTATGTATGTGAATATTTGTCTGTCGTCTATATGTAAGTGTGCTTGGAAGGTTTTTTTAATAGGAAAGAGGCGAAATTGTTATCTGACCAGAGAAAAGTTTTCTAATGTGTTCAATTTTTTCCTACACTTTTATTTGATGAAAATGTGGAGCGAAAGTGCAAATGAGTGCTAACGCACGTCATCGATATATTTCCTTTAGTAGAGAAGTGGAGGTGAACGAGATAGGTTGTTGCTCCTATTGAATGCCACCACCTCGCTATGCCCCGTCGTTAAGTGTATTCGAGCCAAATCATCTTATAACTTTATAATCAGTGATAAAATTGGATTTTGCATATATGAAATAAGCCTTAGAATGTAAATAAAGCTCATTGATCATTTGAATGTAAATCAACGGATGAAAGTTATCCGTCCGATTACATTCATTATCACTTTTTATAACTATTATTTTCAATGCATACAAGGAATTGATATGGTTTTCTAGGATTCAAAATAATGCATACTTATTATCTAATGAAAATACGAAACTTAATGAAGCGAAATTGATATATATTGCATATTTTTGAAGCGCAAGGAGTACTGATGTAGTTCCTTGTTATTGTTTACTTTAGCATGGAAATGATTTAATAAATATTATGAGACTGCTACGATTTGATTATTTATTTACATGGGGAACATACCATTTTTTTGAAATTGTACATTTGTTGCAATTCTTTCAATTTTTCGAAAATTTCCTTTGAATACTGATTGAACTTTCCGGAAGCTCTCCTATGATTTCATTTAAGAGGACCGAAGTCTTTTCTTTTTTTTCACAACAAATAATTAATTTATCCTTTTCTGAGAAAAGGTGTTTTAAATTTTTAAACTAAAGTTATATATGATGAGCTTAAAATGGAATTTCAATCTATTTTTGCAATGATCAATATACAGTGAGATGCATTTCTGTTGCAAGATGACAACTGCTCTTCCTGAACGAACTCAAACTTCTATCAAAATTTGCTTTGAGGCACATGCAGTCTTTCTCTTCTTAGTTTATTAATGAATAAATTTGCATTTTTGAATTAGAATTCTGCATTAATTTGCAAGAGTTGCTTAATAGTTCGGCATATGCTTTAAAAGAGAAATGAATGAATGTGTTCGGTGGCGAAGCTGTCAACGAAATTTTAGAAAATAAATATCCGAATGGTGGTCTAATTTTACAATGATTGCTTTGAAATAGAAGTGCTTTTTTTTCATATTATCTGTTGATTTATTAAGCTTTCCTTGATGAATTTTAAATTCATCTTACCTCTTTTCATTTGAAAGTTCTTTCCCGTTTTTGCATAACGGAATTTAACAGTGCGATCTTATTCCTGCTATTGAACTAGATAGATTCATCAATTTTTCAAGTAATTTAGGTTCATCGTATATTGCACTTCGAAAATAGAAACATCTATATGATCTTTGATCAAGTCATCGTAAATTAAAAATGGCAGGGATTCTTTTATCTTTTATCAAATGATAAAAAGTCTCTTAACATATTTCATTACGAAAATCAAAAAAATATTGATATATTTTCATGGATTTTCCAAAAGATCATAATAACCTTCTTCTATCTACTTGAGAATTTGTAATTTATTATTAGTAATATAAACAGTATATCTAATCAATTAATCGATATAATGTTTGCTTCATAAAAATCTAAANATATATTTTCATGGATTTTCCAAAAGATCATAATAACCTTCTTCTATCTACTTGAGAATTTGTAATTTATTATTAGTAATATAAACAGTATATCTAATCAATTAATCGATATAATGTTTGCTTCATAAAAATCTAAAATAGTGAGTAAAAAAATATATCGGAAGAAGTTCAAGTAAGAGAAAAAGCTATCAGTTGGAGACCTTAAAATGCTTCCAACTGATACCCTTTGTACGCCATTAGCATGGCATGCAAACAGAAAAATAAATCAAAAATGAGATAGACATAAATGCTTAAGAGATGCTCTCAGCATAGTAGAGCATAGTAAACAATGTTACGCAATGGCCAAACAATAATTTTATCATTTAAGCCCATTTATCTGTACGATTTTTGTTGAAATTTCTTCAACAAGTTTAATGGTCACGTCACGAACATTTTAATATATGTGCGCATACGTTTATCTATGCATATGTTGTTATGTATATCTACTAAAAGTGAGTATATATGTTAGTGTCAGTGATATGTATGTATGTATGTTTGTATGTGTATGTGATTGTGCCGTGTGCCGATAGTCCGTGACGATAGTAGCTGTTCGAACGACGTCATCAACTAATTTCGTTGCCCGCTGTGGTATTGACAACGCTTGCTGCTCCCTCCTTCTGCTATTTCAATTCGTCGTTCTCAGTTTCGTCCGTCCATATATTCCATAAGTTATCAATCTCCGCTTGTCGCCTTGTTAAACGATCTTAATTTATTTTTTGTTTAATTAATGCACCTGTTTCCTTACCTTATTAGTAGCCATGAAAGAATTTCAATTTTCTGAAAGAGAATTGTTTACGAATAGTAGCTATATGAGTAATGTTTTCCTATTTTTGTTATTTGCATGAATGAAAGGTAAAGTTTCTCGAAGTTACGATAAACTAAACTTTGTTTGTTTATGAGCGCCATCAGATAGGCAACAAGCACTTTCTCACTTTACGTGTTTGGGTTAATAGAAGAATGTTATCACGAATTATTTCTATCGATTTTAATGAAATATTGGTTGGTATGGCTTACGTTCTGTCTTGTGTAATGCAATACGATTCTTTTTCGATAACGAAAATCCATAAATTTCATCAAACCTTGTTGCTGATCTCTTTTCCATTAAAGAAATCGAGAGGATTATATTTGCTTTTATTTTCGAAATTATTGACCTTCGAAAGAGTACATACTATATAATATATCAACCGTTAAAGATGATGAAGTTAATAACTAATGAAAATAGAAAGATCAGCAGATTCTGAAAAATTAAATATTGGCTAAAAAATTTAATCCAGCTTCATTTTATCATAGTTTGTGTTTTTGATAGATGTCATATATTGTTTCACAAATAAAAATGATCATTTTATTAATAAGGTCATTATCTAATACAAATAGGGGGAGATGACCAAGTTCACGATATTAATGACCATCAAATGTATTATACGATTTTTTTCGAGTCTTTTATATGCAATGAAGAAACTAATAAAGCCAAGTCACTAAGGCCTTTTGTCAATGTGTGTGTATGTCGTATATATTGTCTGTGTTTGTCTCCTACTCCTTGTGTGATTCACGTGCGTAGGCTATATGCAAAATCATCATGTGTAAACAAATATATATATATATACTTGGATCTATTACTGAAGATGGAAGAAAGACAGTGCTTTGCTTACCATTTGGAGGTGCTGATCGATGTACATGCGCTATTTGTGGGTAATAGAAAGAAGTAGGCAAAGAATTGACTTGACCAGCCTCATGGTAAACTTTTGCTTCAATTAACTCACTGCAATTATTTATATGACTTGTTGTCATTATCGGTTGTAATTTAGCAACCATTTTCGTATTTTATTATCATCAGTGTGGTCATTCATCCCATCTATTGAATATAATAAGCCATTTGAAATTCAAGAAGAGAAGCTATTAGCAAACCGTTCATATATTCCCTTCCCTTTCAGTGTTAGCCAGTCATTCCTCATAGGTGTCTAAATGTCACCAATAGTTATCAGCGTTCTCTGCTTGGATTTTACTTCTGGAAGAAATTGAG